AGGGGGCGGATGGAGGATGCCTGCAGTCACTCATATAAGAGGGGGTGTTTGAGATGAAGAGTCCCGTGGACTCAGTTTCCCGCCCTGTAGTAGGTAGAGCAGGTCTCCCACCCCCCACCCCCCGCCTAATTATAAAACGTAGCCTGGGGCGTGTTCCTGGTGAAGGTCCATCCCCTGGTAAGATGGCCCCCCCAGAGAAGCCTCTGAGGATGTGATTAATTATGAAGTTTATTCATAGCGTTCTTTTACGATGGCGAGCCTCTACTCGTTGACCACACCTTAGAAGGTGGGTTTTGATGGGGGTGTGTCCAAGGTACTTTCTGAATGCCCCCAACCCCCGGCATCAGCCTTTGTACTAATGAGCTCTTTAATAAGAGTGCAAAAGGTGACTTGCATTAATCAAGTGGCAGGATTATTGTGAGAAGCGTTAAGGCAAGGTTCACTTATCAGCGGAGACACTTTCACCGGTCTCACAAGTGGGCAACTAACAGAGCATGCCTCCCCTGCACCTCGGCGGTGTCCGTCTGGAAACCCCGACCCAAAAAAAAAACGGCAAGAAAACGGAGAGGCGAGAGGAAGCAGAATGGCGGAGGATGAATGAGCCCAGAAATGCAGGGAGAGGGTGGACGAGCGAGGGAGCTGGCGGTTTGAGTGAGAGAGATTGGGGGGGTGGGGGCGAGTGGGTGCGGAGGGGCGGATTTGAAAGCCACCTTGTTCTCATTACCGGAGGGGTGGTCCGCACCCTGCGGGCACATAAACAATGGGCCCAATAGGGTTGAGGCGGCCAGTGCCCCGGCACCCTGCGGACCCCCCAGCCCTGCCTTGACAGCTCGGGGCTGCGGGAGGCCACGCAGCTGGCTCTCGCCTTGTCCCTGCCAGCAGGTAGCTCTCTCGCACGCTGCCTCGGAAGAAAAGCCCTCAGACGGGGGGTGGGCGTTAAGAAGCAGGCATGCCTGTGACACGAGGCTGGGGGGGGCGTCAATTTAAAGACAGTGTCTCGAAATAGAATGTATTTGTATTTTTCCATCTAAACCCATTTAGCTGTACAGCTGGGGCCGCATGCTCTGATCGCTACTGTTGCGTTTTGTCAAATTTCCGTCGTCACCAGAAAAGGTCTTTCGCCTTCTCTCCTGGCCAAGTCACTGCTAAATATTTCTTTTGTTTAGACTTTTTGCACTGAGCACTTGGCTCGACTCGCGGCCTTTTTTTCCCCTCCAATGTACCGTCAGTCAAAGCAGAATCTCTTTTTTTATTGCATTTTCCCCTTTCGCAGAAGGGAGTCGGCATGCTTGTTAAACAACTGATAACCACTGGAGACAGTGACAAAAATATGTCAGGATTCAGCAACTGTTTTTTTTTCCTTTTTCCTACAGTAGTCCTCTGTTGAAATATGAAAGCGCGTTTGTCTGAAGGGTGGGGGCAGGGGAGGGCGGGGAGGGGAGGGGAGGGGAGGGCGGGCCCAACAGCAGGGTTTGATTGACAGGGGGTTATTTGGATACCTCGATCATCCCTCCGCAGCACAACCATCAGTGGCACCCAGGGGCATCTGATTATTCCAACCGTTTAAGGAACCAGGTTCCATAGTGCCTCCGCCAGAGGACACAAGAGTGTACATTTAGTGGAGACCACTTTAGAACAGTGCTGGGAAAATATATATATAAAAAAGATGAAGAGTTTCAGGACTCGGAAGTGAGCGGAAGAGTGCGGAAAATGTGAAATCCATCAGCCTCACAGGGAAGGATAAATGAACAAATTAAGTGTGCTGTATTTTAGAAGCATGTCCCTGGATGACACGGACACGGTGGACATTGCAAGTCAATTTAAAAGGAAGAGGCCACAGCCAGAAGAGATTGCCTGTTGCCAGCCGTTTCCAGGTTGTTTTAGTTATGCTCGAAAAGCTGAAGACCCCCCTGACATATTGAAAATCAAAACCTAACGCCGGCATCCCGCTTCATTGTTTTCCCCTGCCTCCACTGAACATGCTGGCTGGCGTGTGGTTTGTCTCAGGCTTCGGCCTATAGCTTTCTTGCCTTCTTGAAAGAGAGAGCAAGGGAGCAAGAGGAAAAACATGCACTTGGCCAGAAATTCCTTTATTGGCGATATCCGGAATGTTACCTGTTGTTCCAGTAACCCTTTGTGGTTCCCTGCGGCTTCTTGCCCATTCCAGGAAGCCTGTGGGGAAATTCAGAATTTTTCCTGCTTCCCCAACCCCCCCCCCCGCCCACCTCAGCTCTACCACCCTACACCCCCCCGGGCACAGTACGTCCATGGCTCCCCCGGGGATAGTACTTCAAACATGCCGGTCAGTTTCCAAGGAGACCGAGCCGGCTGTTGCAAAAACAAAAGACGGGGCCGTTCCTCACACAGGGCCTGATAAGTGTTGACTGTGTCAAATGCATGCAGTTTTTTTTCCCCCCCTCTCCCTCTCCTCCTTCTTCTTCTGGAGCCAAACTGGACAGCGGGGTCCCCTGGCACTTCGCCAGATCAGGAAGGAATTCCACCCCCAGACGACCGGCAGCACTCTGGATATCTCCCCTTGCACTCATCTTTGGGCTGAGTTAATACTGGCCCTGCTTCAGACGCCAGAACCCCTCAACCTGAAACAGTTCTGTTTTTCCACCCAACCTTGAAAATATCCTATGGCAGGGCTTCTAAAGGTAGCACAGAGTACAGGACACTGGTCCTGCCTTATTGTCACTTCTCGGACTGTTTACACAACCAAAAGGGGAAAGCAAGTCAGTTGTTTTATCATTGAACATGGCTGTTCTCAGACAGAATAGAGAATTGTCTAGAGAAAACAAGAATTACAAACAAGTGTACCCTAGCAGACAAGTACCCCAGACCAGTCCCCAAAAAGTGCACAAAGGGCTCAGCAAAAAGGAAGGAAGAAAATAGGAAGAAAATATGAGCAGTGTCGTTAGACCAGCTTAATGAGCAACCCAAGAAAGCAGGCTGATCAAAGAGAAATCAACCTTGTCCTTTAACTCTGCTGAGCTGAAAATGTTCAGGAGAAGGTGCGTTACCCATTTATTTTCAATCAAACAGTCATTGCATTTTCTCTGGCATTGTGCTGCTATGCCTTAATTAAAATCTTGACTGATGACTCTGAATAAATTTGGGTTTCTAAGTTTCTGTGCACAGAATGCAAATGAGCCTGTGATCTGACAATGATTACCACCCCTCTGCAGTAAAGGGTTCAGCTGCGAGTCGGTCCAGACATGCACCTGAATTCACCCCCAAGAGCTGCAGAAACCTTTCAGAAAAGTCACACTGAATGACTGAAATCAAAATTCATTAGTACTTAATCGAGCAGGCTTTAAATTCCTGCTATAAAGAAACCCAGAGCCACGGTGGTTTTGTGGCTTTTTGTACCTTTGTACTCTTTTGCATCCAATGAATGATTACGTTGATTGGTTGCCTAGGTGATCACGTTTATATCAACTCCAGGGATACTCCTGAAATCACCCCGTGCATTTGAGAAAGGGAGCCTTGAAAACGTTGCCCACGGCATTCCCTAAAGGTAACGTGACCTCCGTTAAACCCAGTGAAAATCCCTAAAAAGAATTCACGCTTGTCACTGTGCTGCCCCACAGATGTGGAAATACGACCTTGATTATAATGTGCACCCCCTGCCTTTTTTCCCCAAAAAAATGTCTCACATGTGCTGAGATGCATGTCTTCACCACTGCTCTGGAGAACTCCCTGAAGAACAGTTTCAAATTCCCTTCAAAGGTTACTGTATTGGATTTCGGACACTCAATAAGGCCCCAATAATCTTGTCTCTGTAATTCATTTTTAGTCCTATAAAGTCATGCCATCTTTTCATGACTAGATTTAATACTCCAGAAATCAACCAAAAAACATCCCAACTCTTCATTTCTATTTTCTGCATAATGGCAGCCAGTCCATGGATTTTGAAAGCATCTTCAGTAGGTTTCAGTCTGACTTTTAGTGCTGTTCTTGGTTGTATGGTTTGTGTGTGTTGCATTGCAGGAGATGCTGCTGATTGTTTAATGTATTATTGGTCTGATTCACCATGTAGCAAGGAATACCAGGTGTACACTGATGCATTAGGAGAAGACGTTATGTTTCAGATCCTGAGTGATCTGTCCGGCAGTCTCACAACTTAACTTCTCGAGACAGGTATTTGCATAGTCATAAATTATTCAGGATTAAGCCGCAGCATGCAAATGAGACCACTGAATACGCAAATGAGAGCAAGGAGAGGCCGCCGGTAGGTAGCAATGCGTGAATTAGCATCAAGGGCTGCTAAAGGCTCATAAGATTGTCTTGTTAGGTTGAGTTATACAATATGGGTGAGAAGAGGATACAGGACGGTGTGGGAGACTGTTGAGAAGCAATGGTTGTTTGATGGAAAATTGCATCCTCAAGTGTGTGGATAGGGGTTAGAATTGACTGCGAGGCCTCCCTTCCTCACTTAACAGCGCTATGAGTTTGTGGTCAGGCTCAAGACAAAGCCCATTGTGTTTGCTGCACAAGGAATATAGCTGGCTTTCTTGATGAGAGCAGGCTATGGTCTCAGATGTGGCTGCATTCTCTGGAGGGTATGGGGGGGTACCGCTCTGCACTGACTGAATCATTCTCTTTTATTGCTGGTCATCCAAGACCGGAATGTGCTCTTGCTGTCCTGGGAAACTTTATCAGAGTCGCCTTGGTTACAGATCCTGTTAGCCTTGGGTGTGGACTGTGGTGTGTCCAGTAAGAGCCTCTCACAGATGGCTTCCATGTCCCCAGGGTGAGGTATCAGTGCCAGATAAGACAAAACGACGACATCCAGAGAATTCCTGTGGCAAGGTCCCAAGGCTTCTGTGTGGTCTGTAGGGCATGACATGGGCTGAGGCAGGAAAGCAGCTGTAGCATGACCTTTGGAATGATGTGCCACGAGACTGGCTGAAGCCAACCTGTGAAAACAGACACGAAGCTGAGGACCAAGGTGCTCTGTGTGCTTCTCTCACGCACCCTTTGTTTCCATTTTGCAGGCCCAGATGTGCTGTGCAAGGATTGGATTTGCATCCAAACTGTCAAATTTACCATCTTTAACTCTCAGTTTAATTGAGGATTTTTAAAAATGTGTATGGAGTTGGTGTGTGTTTTTTTTTACCATCCTAAGTAGAGCTCTGCTTCACATCATGTGGTATCGTCAGCAGCTGTGTTTTGTTTCATGTTTTATTTTCGATTGCCTCAGAAATCAAGGTAAACCTTCCCTTGTTTTGATGTCTCTTGTTGCAGTAACATGGGAGGGATTCCATGGTTTACTCAGTGCCTGATACATTTGGGGGTGTCTGTGTGTCAACAGGAATTAAAACAACCTGAACAGAGCAATGTTATAAATGACTTCTTTCACACTTTGGCCTTCTCCAAGGCTGCACTTTGTACTTAAAGCTACATTATACGACTGCACCTGTTGCGATTTGCATGGCTTCCGGGGAGATGCTGCAATATGATGTAATCTAATGAAAGTCTAGGTAACCGCTGCAGTTATCTGATAAAGGGAGGCTGGACTGCTGTGTCTGTGACTGCCATTGATTCGAAGGAATGCCAGGTTCATATAAAAAAAAAAAATTCTGATGGTGCCTTTTATCTTAAGTTGTTGCTGGTGAAAAGTAGGACTGGAATCCATGTGGTTGCACCACACAGACCAAAAGGCATCAGCAGGAATCGATAGATCACAAAAAGTGAACGACTGAGAAAATGAATTGAAAGCAGACGACTCATCTGTCTGACAGTCACAAATAGAAGACAAAATGGTTCTTTCCCACCTCAGGGCCATGCACTTGACTACACGGGCAAGGCTATGTTAGGAGTCGTCAGCACAGGCCACTAAGGGGGAGGATAGCAAGCCACCACTTCACACCAAATCCAGGTCGTGGTAGCACTCTGGGAGTGCCGGGGGTTGATGTGAGAGTGGCTCCTCTGTGGGGCACAGAGAGCTCGTACCGTTCCGCAACCCCCATACCCCCCAATCATACCACGGCTTTCAGCCCATAGAGACCCAGCATGGGGGGGAATGTGGCTCTGCAGGACCCACCTGCCACTGAGAGCATGGCGACCGCACAGCCGGATACCATGCGAAATGTGGAGCACATCCTCCGGTCCCAGCTGAGGCCTAAAATTACCCAGCACCCTGCCCCCCTTCCCTCCCAGCTCTCCCGGCCTGCTCATTTCCCTCCTTCTTTTGTTTCTTGATTTTACATTATGACAGATGTGCATCGGTTTACTGGGCACAAAATAGGATCAGAGGCCTTGCTTATTGGGTAATGCCTGAGTTTACCTTCTAGGACACCCTAAATCCGATGTTAAACCATAAAAAGGAACACGTCTCCATCAGGTCAGTCTTTTTTTAACAGTTTGGATGCAGAACCAAGCTATGTCTTTCTAACTGCTAACAGTGCAAAAAAATGCTGAAATTTCTGATGTTATAGTACACAAATACGACTGTTAACAATGTTACAGTACACAAATATTACAATACACAGTGTTACAGTACACAAATACTATAGTACCCAAATACGACAGTAAACAATATTACAGTACACAGTGTTACACAGAGTGTGTTACTGTTTACAAGTATTAATACAGTGTTACAGTACGCAAATAATACAAAGCAATATTACTGTGCACAGTGTTACTAGTAAATAAGTCAAATTTATTTTTACAGTGTTACAATCCACCAGCATTAATGCGGGGTTACAATGCACAAATATTGCAATGCAAAAATACAGAAAACAATGTTACATACAGTGTTACCATATACAAATGCTAATATACAAATGTTAGAGTACACAAATTTACTGCAGTAAAGAATGTTACAGCACACAAATATTATACTATGCAGTGTTACATTACACAAATCCTACTTTAAACTGCACTGCCAAGGTGCAAAATGACAGAACAGGCAGGCCTCACTCTTCCAGGTTTAGGTCCATATGCATATTTTACACACAGATTCTTTGGTACATGAACCTGCCGCCGAGCGGCAGCAAACTGAGCCGAATACTGGTGCCTCATTAGGTTATAGGGCATCACCTGCGTTGACGGGGTACTTTCATGCATCTAGTTTTGTCCTGGGGGGGAGCGATGACCCAGGGACACATCTCATGAGCTACGGCGGTCTGCAGCCCCAAAGCCAGCAACGCCACACTGGGTGCAGGGCAGACAAAAGGCACAGGAGACAAAAGGACAGGGAGCTGGAGCGGGGAGGCACCGGGAGTGTGTGAGGGTGACTCAAGGACAAGCGCGGCAGACGGCATGGAGCGCAAACGTCACCCTCTTAAAAAACAAATTGCAGGTAGAAATGAATGCATCGACTGCAACTAAATCCTGCGCTTCTGATCATCGCAATAGACACCGCGGTGGGGGTGGGGGGCCATCCGGCAGTCCGCAAAAGTCCTTTTAATGCCGTCCTTGAAAATACCTTCTCTAAGAAATTCCTCTAATGTTTAGGGAGAAGGTGGAATGCGCTGGATGTCAGCTGAATCCCAGAGGGCTCTATTTTGTACTCTAATAGCTGTTACGAGCCCACATTATATCCAAGGAGTCATTTTCCTTGGGGGGGCTCTCCTCGCTCCGTGTCAATATTCTGGCATTTGAAGTCACATACAGTATGTGCTTCTGGGAGTCGCCCAGGAGCCAGGCAGACTCGTAATGGCCTGCATTCATTAATAAGGCTGCTGCTTTTGTCCCACTGCCTCTCCATCCCCATTGCCCACAACAGGGAAGCCTGGGCAGTCCTGGGGGGCCGCCTCCCAGACACACTTAAAGAAGCTTTATTTTTGACTGGTGAAGTCGCTGGCACATCTCAAGCCGCCATGACCGTAATGCCGGCCTCCTCCCAGTCACCTCGCTGGGGTCGGGGATCCATTCGGGTCAAAAGGCTTATTATCCTGCCTGTCGGAAACCAATTGCCTCACTAAAAAAGAAACGCACCAAGGTCTTTAAGTCCTCGGCGCCGGTGTAGAATGCATCGAGTGAATCGAGTCTCTGTGTCTTCTGGTTTTATTTTTTTCTCCGTTGACGTGTCTGTAAAGACATATAATGCACCCCCCCCCCCCCCCC